TGTGTGTGTGTGTGTGTGTGTGTGTGTGTGTGTGTGTGTGTGTGTGTGTGTAGGGGGTGGGATTTAGCTGACAATACAGAACATCATAAAGTTTTCGATTACCTTGACCCTCAACATAGCTGGAGAACTGGATGAGTGCCCCCAAAACTGGAAGCAGCCAGCACCAGGTCTTGCATTGAAAAGTCTTCATTTTATTTCCTGCCTTTTACATGAGATGTCTCAGCAAACCTAGAAACAGAGAGCACAGACAACTAAACATACCCTACTGACTTAAAGCCATACTGATAGAACAAGTCAAATGATCGCATCGCGCCCCTAAAGAAACCAATGATAACTGGCATTTACTCAGCATCTTGCAATTGACAAAATACCTCAAAAACATTATTTTGTTGGAACTCTCATCAAGGCTCATCTCAAGGGCCACCTCCAGGATGCCCTTCCTGGTTTTCACAGTTGTTATAACCTGCCACTGGAATTACTTTGGATTTAATTTGTGTGTATTTTGCATTTACTTATCTGTGTGTGTGTTGTATACCTCAATTAGAGCAGAAGCTTCTTGGGAACAGAGAGAATTTTGTTTTTGATTTTCTATCCACAGTGCCTAACACACAGTAGGTGCTAAATGGTTATTGAATTGAATTGAGTCTCAAAACAACCCCATGACATAAGTATTGCAGGTATTATTATCTCCATTTTAGAGATGAGGAAACTGAAGTTCAGAGAGGAAGAAAACCATACTGGCTCATGGTCACATACCTTTTAAGTATCAGAAATGAGTCAAACCCAGGCCTTTTTGATTCCAAGGTCATTAGTCTATTTTGTATGCCATTTCACCTGTTACCTTATTAAATATAAAACTTAATCAAAAGAAGAACATACAAAGATATTATATAGGCTTCAAGAGATTTCAAATCATTGGGAAGAGAGGGATATTAGTCACTTGTTTCATGTAGAAATAAAAGATGGAATTATAGAAACTGGGGGATTAGAAGGAGTCTCATAGATCATCAAGTCTAACTCTTATACTCAAAATTGAAATCTCTTCCACAGCACCGCCAGGCAGGTGGGCATCTATACATGTCCCTGGGCCTCTACCAAATGTCCCTTCTCCAGGATGAATATCTCATTTCTTTAACTGATCTTCATATTACATGATTTTTAATTCCTTCACCATCTTGGTAATCCTACTTTGGACATTCTCTAGCTAGATAAATATTGCCTCCATTTCTACCAGAAAATATATGTAATATTGCCTTACTTAGTGCCTTTTTGAAATTGGGATTGCAAAGTCCACTTCATACACCTGAAAACTGTTATTGAATCAGGCCTCAACCTTCTCTTCTCCAGGCTGAACAATTCTGAAAGATCTTGTCTGACAATTTGTAGATCACTTCTAAAGCTTCTCCAGATTTTGCTATTTTCATTTATAAGAATCAACCATGGAGTGGCTTATTTAAAAAAAAAAAAGCATGTGTGCTCAGTACTTACTTAAAAGGCAAGTCTAAAACTCTGTTAGAGTTTATTTTGGAGCAGGACTGCTAAAGCCTTCCCCAAAAGTTCAGCAAAAATGTCTGTAATGTTTCCTCTGTTTCAGGGAGAAATGAAGTAATAAGAGATAGTCATAACAGGGCATATATAGCTAATACTCCAGTAACCCTAGCCACACTAAGGCATCCAGGAAAGAAATGAGTGCTATAAGGTTCAAGGTAAGGATACTTAAAGACATCACAGGTCAGACAGGGATCCTTTTAAAAATAAATAGGTAAATTATTTGGAAGTCCAAAAATTAAATTTTATATCACTGCCTGCTAGTAAAGAGGAAAAAGTGACCTGAAACAAAAGAACAAGAGAACCCTTTCTGAAGTTCTTATATTTATTTGTTTGTTTGTTTGTTTAATCCACAAATTCCCTCTAGACTTAGGTGTGGAATAACATGATTTCATGCTTGGTGAAGGCCAACTTTCTGAGTCCACTGACTTGACTATCACATGCCATCTGAAAGGTACAAGTATAAGATGTCCCCACTCATAAATCACTACCCATTGTGGCCAGCTACCAAGCCTAAAGTTCTTACTTAGTAAGGGTCATTCCCTTGGATTAATGCCTTGACTCTTTTTACACATTAAATCATTATCAGTTACTCATCCTTTGGCATACCTTAGTTTATCAGAGATTTGTAAACTTGAGGGGCGGTGTAATGGAAACCAAACTAGCTTTGGAGTCATAAAAATCATAGATTTAGAGTTTGGAGGGACATTGGAAATTACCTAATTCAGACATTCTCAATCTGGGGTCCAAGAATTTGTTTTGTTTTGTTTTTCGTTTTTATAACTATTTCAATACAACTAATTTCTTTTGTAATCCTCTGTATTTCATGTCATGCATTTAAAAACATTATTCTGACAAGGAGTCCATAAACTTCACCAGATTGCCAAAGGGCAACAGGACACAAACAAGACTGAGAACGCCTGATCTAGTCCAACCCCTCTCATTTGAGAGATGAGAAAACCTGGCTCCAGAGAGGTTGAGTAATTTGCTCCAGTTCACCTAGGTAGCAAGTAACACACCTCTTTAGATTTTAAGTTTCTTGAGGGCAGGGCCTGTCTTTTCCCTCTTTTTGTATTCCCAACACTTAGCACTGTGCTTGGCACATAGTAGGCACTTAATAATTGTTTGTTAATTGATTGAAAGCTGGGATTTGAACCCAGCTCCTCTGTCTCTCAATCCAAAACTCTTTCCACCACGCCAAACTGCCTCTAAGGACTTGGATTTGAGTCCTGATTCTGCCCCTTATTCCTTGTGTCCCTGAGTCACTCCCAGTGCATCCAGCAAACATTTATTCCAAGTCTGCAATATGCAAGCCACTGTGCTTTGGGATGGATACAAAGAAAACAAAAAATAGTCCCTGCCCACAGGGACACTCCACTGGAGGGATATAATCTGTAAAAAGATAAGTATGTACAGGATAATTAGAAGAAAGAGGGAGACAAATAATTAGGAAGATCAGGAGAAGTATCCTGTAGGAGTGGACATATATGCTGATTCTTGGAGATAGCTAAGAGGTAAGATGGAGCTGAAGAAAGAGACAGAGAGACACACTTCACAACTTTCACAAAAGAATCACTTTCAGTCTTACCCTAGGTCAATCCTTTATACAACCAAAAGAGGAGGCATCAGTAAAATGTCCAAATAAGTCAGTCAGTCAATAAGCATTTGTTAAGTACCTACTCTGTACCAAGGACTGGAGAGACAAAGAAAAGCAAAAGACAGCCTTTGCCATCAGGGAATCACCAGAAAGTTTTCTTATCAGAAGATGGGATTTTAGCTGTGTCTTGAAGGAAGCCAAGGGAAGCTAAATGGTGCCATGGATAGAGTGGAGCCTGAAGTTGAGAAGACTCATCTTTATGAGATTGAATCTGGCTTCAGACACTCACCAGCTATGTGACTCTGGGGAAGTCACTTAACCCTCTTTCCTCATGTGTAAAATGAGCCTGAGAAGGAAATGGCAAACCACTCCAGTGTCTTTGCCAAGAAAACCCTAAAAGGGGTAAAAAAGAATCAGACACAACTGAAAAACAAGAGGTAGAGAAGAGGAGGAAGAGCATTCGGGGGAAGCGGGGGTAGCTAGTCAGTAAACTTACAAAGAGTCAGAAGCTATGGAGTGTGTGTTGGAAGTCAGTGTCATTGGATTGCAGAATACTAAGGGGAAGGAAGATATAAGAAGATTAGAAAGATAGGAATGACCAGATTGTGAAGGGCTTTAAATGCCAGACAGAGGATTTTGTATTTTATCCTAGAGTTGATAGAGAGCCACTGGAGTTTATTGAATAGAGGGATGACATTATCAGTCCTGTACTTTTCATTGTATCCAACTTGTCATGACCTCATTTGGAGTTTTCTTGGCATAGACACTAGAGTAGTTTGCCATTTCCTTCTCCAGCCCATTTAACAGATAAGGAAACTGAGACAAGCAGAGTTAAGTGACTTGCCCAAGGTCACACAGTTTATAAGTATCTGAGATCAAATTTGAAATCAGGCTTCCTGACTATAGTCCACTGCTCTATATACTGTGCCACCATGCTGACCCTTAAAAAGTATAGTGTCCTGGACTTTGGGAAGATTAATTTGACAGCTGAGTGGAGGATGGATTGGAGTGGGAGAAGACTTGACACAGCTGCCACAATAGTCCAGTTGTGAAATGGTGAAGGCCTACACCAAGATGGTGGCAGGATGGGAGAAGGGGAAAGAGATGAAGTGTTATGATGTTATGAGAGATGTTCTGAAAGAAAAATTGACAGGACTTGGAACAGATTGGATGTGGGAGGTGAGAGAGAATAGTGAACGACGATACCCAGAAAGCAAGATGGAAAGATGGTGAGGCTTTCAACAGTAATAGCGAAGTTCATAAGAGGGCTAGGATTGGGAGGAAAGATCATGAGTTTGGTTTTGGACATATTGATTTTGATTTATCTATGACAAGTCCAACTTGAAGAGTCTAATAGGTAGCTGGAGATGCAAATCTGGGGAAGAAAAAGCAGAAAAGCTACATGCCCTAGAAGTAATGATTTTTTCTTTTACTATTCCTTTCCCCAAATATTTTAAAAATAATTTTTACTAGAAACCAAGAGAAGATGTTGAAGAAAAAGGACATATTTGTCTTTTCAGCCAGGAATTATGCATCAGACAGTATACTATAGAATTTCAACAGAAGGAAAGAAAGAGTTGCTCACAAATCTGAAAATAAAACCAAGCAAACTTCTACTGTGTCCATCAACACCATCACAATTTCCATTGCAAGGTGATAGAAGCAATAATAAACATGGAATATATAATGCTAATCTTCATGGCATGCTTTGCTATTAAGACATAAATAAACCTGGGGTGCATTCAGTCTTTGCCAACTCTTCTTGAAGCTGAATTGGTGGAGTTTTGGAGTTTTCGAGGTGTGGGGGCTAGAAAATTGATTTTATTTGTTTAGTTTGCTTTTTACCAAAAACAGTTGTGGCCTCAGTTTGGGTTTGTTTTTTCTTTTCTTTCTCTTCAAACAATGTTTATTAGGATGACTAACACCACATTAGACTAAGTGGAGGCTTCAGTTTTTCCCAAGGTTTTCTGCCAAGTCCTTGAAATTCTGGATAAGAATGTTGGGGACAATCTTTATTCTTACTGGAAACACCATGCAGTGGATAGAGCACTGGGTTTGGACTCAGGAAGACTCATTCATCTTC